ATTGTTCGAATTCAAGGGTGAGCCAGTTCTTCCAGGCTCCCATGAGTTCTCCTTTCGTCTATGTCCACATTTCGGACTTAGACTTTTCTAGTTAGTTATTAGTTCATTAGTTGGGGTTGTAACCCTTCTTGTTAGACTTATGGATCTTGTTAGATGTTTTGGTACATTGACTTTCAGGTTTCAGGTGTATTTTTCCGCATTGTTTAGTTGTTAGATCTTTTGGAAGTTTATGGAAACTTTAGTCTTTAGCTAATTAACTTGCTTTCGTAACTTAAATGCTTTAGATTTTGGGTTTAGTTGCTTGGTTTGAGTTGTAGTAGTGGTTCTCCCACCGGAGGGTTAGTGTGGGTGCCAATCACGACGGTCTGGATCATGACAGTAAAGCTACAATAAATACTATATTTAAGAATAATATTTTGTGCATTCAAAACTTAATATGTGAAGGATTCACATTATTAAATTTTATATATGTCTGTAGAACCTGTTATCACAAAAATTCAGAATAAATAATTGATTTCGAAAAAAATGATGGTTAAAGCTGAAAAATTCTAGATTGAAACAAATGATTCCTTCTTTTTTTTATGAATCTCTACACACTTGTTTTCGATTACTATGGAATAATTCTTTTAATCACAAAATTAATATTTAGTGCTAATGAATCTAAATGCTTTTTTCATATTTTCGAAAATAATATTCACAGTATATCTCATTTAATGAAGCACTAAAAGATTGTATGAAGTTTACATTTTTTATTAGCATTATTAAATTGTTAATAGATTGTTGATGAAACATCGAAATTCCTCCCAGAAACTTATGTTTCCATCTTTTTTCTACTGCATTTTCCTCTTTGATTGTCCACAATTTTACTTTCTTGTTTTAGTTGTTTCACAATTATTTTGACATAGATACTATACTTTTCACATGTGCATTGAGTTGTTAGTTTTGGATTTTAGCTTCTATTTTGAAACTTCAACTATGTTTCAATAATTATCATATTTTATTCGGTTAACTGAATAATTTTTTAAAGATAAACAAGAGGTGTGTGACATGGATGCGTATCCGCATGTTAGATTCTTCATAATTTAATTTTTAAGATTATGAGATATAGATCTAGATATAGATACAAATGTGGGAATTTGACCCAAAAAAATATTAAGAACTTAAAAACATAGCTTTAAAGATATATATATATATATATATGATACATTTGTGGAAAACTAGATTAGATGCATCAAACATAATATTTGGATCAACGGTATAATATTATTTGTTATTTAAATAAATATTGTATCTATTTTGACAGTTATTGTTATTTTACGTAATTTTGATTTTTATATATAATTTGTAAGAGGAAAGACTCAAAATAGTCCCACATCTTTGGATTAAGACTCAAAGTCATCCTTGAGTTTTTACATGGAGCACTAATAGTCCCTTGTGTTTGCAATATTGGTGCACTTTTGGTCCTCCTAAAAAATTTTGCCTATTTTTTAACATTAATTTTGTCCACAATTTTATGTAAGGAATGTCCAATTGTTTTTTTTTTTTTTTTTTTATATATATTTAGTAGAAATAATAACTATATGTGAGAGAAGGTGATAAGAAGAACACATTGTTCTGTTCAGTAGAAATATTACTGCAGCTAAACTAAGAACATCTTAACATATGACGTTGGAAGAAAAGAAAAAAATTGTACTATTGCACATGAAATTATCGTGATGAACCTCTCGATTTTACCTGCAATATAATTTCTACTAAACAAAACAAGATGTTTTTCTTCTCACATTCTCTCATATGGAGTTATTATTTCTACTAAATATATAAAATGACGATTGAACATATCATACATAACTTATGGATAAAATCAATAGTTAAAAAATAGGCAAAATTTTGGAGGAGGACCAAAAGTGCACCAATATTGTAAACATGAGGGACTATTAGTACTCCATGTGAAAACTCAAAGATGACTTTGAGCCTTAACCCAAAGATGAGAGACTATTTTGAGCCTTTCCTCTAATTTGTAATGTACCTTCAAATTTCTAAGGGACCTGGTCTAATTTTAATTTAATTAATAAATTAATTGAAATAAAAAAATTTCATTTAAATAATACTCGATTTTTGGTAAAAAAGACCCCAAGGGCCTGAGTCTCTCACTCATGTCCTGTCCAAATATGGTCAATTTACTTCGGCCCAAAATTCAAAACCAAATCCGGCCCAAAGCCATGACTGACCCGCCCCACACTATTTCTCCAGACCCCCACGCGCCCCTCTTCTCCATTCAGACCTAGACGCAGCAGGCCTAAAAGACGAAGAACCCTAGTTCGGTGCGGCATCTCTTCTCTCTCGCGAATTCATACACTAAGGCGTGATTAGCACGATTTCTTGTACCATTCAAAGATTTTAGAAACTCTTCGATGGTATTATGCTCTAATTTACCAGAAACTGTGCCTCACTGCGAGTCTGCGACCAGCGACATTGCCTGACTTTCACGATTTCTATTGACGGCTTTGTAATATCTCAGTATCTTAGTCTTCTCTTCCAAGTTTCAACTGGTAAGTTTTAGTTTTCTGAATTTTAGTGCGACGATTTATGAGTTCCATAAAAATATAGTGATTGCTATTCATCTAGCGGAGTGACTTGTATTGTTAGCTCCACTGCCTGAGCCCTGATATGCATATTTTGTTAGATCGTTTCTTTGCAGAAGTTGATATGCATCCCGCAGTTAATAGATCTTTGGCGTAACTTTCACTTTTCAATGGTGGCAGTGATACACAATGATATATGATGAATTATGGTTTAGGAAGTGTTATCTTAGAATCACATTAGAACTATCAAGTCAAAATTTGCTCCATTAGACTTTATTTTTTTAGTTATTTGATCATGGCTCACATAAATGCTAAAAGCTTTGCAAGTTCTTGAGCATTAGTGACGAATTGCTTAAGCATTTAATAGCTCATTTGTTTCCTCCTGCTGACATAACAAGTATCCGAGGTGATTCATTGTCCCCTTCTTGTTGCTTAGATTGATTAAGAAGGTTATGTGGCCATACACATTTTTTAACTTGAACGGCTAATTGTTAGATAAGCTGTTAACTGGTGGCCTCCTCCTACTTTGAACAGCTCAGTTTACCCCCAAAAAATAATGCATTGCATGGGAATCAACCTCTTCAGGCTGCACTCTAGTGATAGACATCAATTGGTCTGATCTCAAAGTGCATTGGAGCAACCGCCTCTATACAATTGTGTAGCCATTTTTGGTTTCTATTTCTGAGATTAAGTTATGTCCTTTGTGTGGATCAGAAAGTTTGATGGATTTTTAATTTCTTTGAATATTGGACACCAAGAAGACATGCAAACAACAACCTATTAGTTTGTTTCTCCTTGGTATCCTACAAGTTGTGGTATTCAAAGTCCCCTACTTTCTCCTTTCATGAGAATATAGGCTACGATAACCCTACATCTATATTCAGTTATCTTTATAGAAGCTACTAATCTATGATAAACTAAACTTGTTGCCTATATTTTGCTCGTTACCCCAAGAGTTATGTCCTTCATGTGGCTTAGAGAAGTTTGATTGCCTTCTATTTTCTTTGAACATTGGACACTAAGAAGACATGCAGACAACAACCTATTAGTTTGTTTCTCCTTGGTATCCTACAAGTTGTGGCGATTCAAAGTCCCCTACTTTCTTATTCTCATGAGAATGTAGGCTACGATAACCCTACATCTCTATTCAGATATCTGTGTGGAAGGTACTAATCTATGATATAGTGAACTTCTTGCCTCTCTTTTGCCTCTTTAAGAGATACACCCTTCATGTGGTTCAGGGAAGTTTGATTGCCTTTTATTTTCTTTAAACGCTGGACAGAAAGAAGACATGCAAACAGCAACCTATTAGTTTGTTTCTCCTTGGTATCCTATATGTTGTGGCGATTCTAAGTCCCCTACTTTCTCCTTCTCATGAGAATGTAGGCTACGATTAGGGGTGGGCATAATTCAGATATCTGTGTGGAAGGTACTAATCTATGATATAGTGAACTTCTTGCCTCTCTTTTGCCTCTTTAAGAGATACACCCTTCATGTGGTTCAGGGAAGTTTGATTGCCTTTTATTTTCTTTAAACGCTGGACAGAAAGAAGACATGCAAACAGCAACCTATTAGTTTGTTTCTCCTTGGTATCCTATATGTTGTGGCGATTCTAAGTCCCCTACTTTCTCCTTCTCATGAGAATGTAGGCTACGATAACCCTACATCTCTATTCAGATATCTGTGTGGAAGGTACTAATCTATGATATAGTGAACTTCTTGCCTCTCTTTTGCCTCTTTAAGAGATACACCCTTCATGTGGTTCAGGGAAGTTTGATTGCCTTTTATTTTCTTTAAACGCTGGACAGAAAGAAGACATGCAAACAGCAACCTATTAGTTTGTTTCTCCTTGGTATCCTATATGTTGTGGCGATTCTATTTTTTGGTGTGAATAAAAATAAAGAGGGAATATGATAAAGTGTTAAGAGTTTCATGTGTTTAATTTATAATTAAGAAGACGTAGCATAGATGATTCTATAACTAGAAGAATTCAAATTTTGTTTCTGTTTCTAGACTTTCGTGGGGATTGAAAATATAATATCTCTGTCAAAGCATATGATATGTTATTTATTTATATAAAAAAAATGGACATAGTATGTATGTGTAAAACGAAGCATACGCGGAATTTGGTCCACCTCTCGTGCACAATGAAGAAGAGCCAGAGAAACCTTGTATTTTTAGAAGCGACTGGAAGGGAAAAATGCAAAGATGCCAAAGGATTCGTTAATTAGTTGAATTGAATTGAGTTTTGTTTAGTTTAGACTTTAGGTCTTTAGGGTTTACATTTTACTGTTTTGTCATTTAGATTTTTGCTATTTAAGTTTAGGCTCTAAAATTTAAAAATTGAAATGGGCCAGGTAAAGTTAAAAATTGAAATGGGCCAGGTAAATATTTTGAGTCAAAATATATAAGTATTATTAAGTAATATAATTTAAATATTTTTAAATTTATTTAATAAAACTTCGGTTCTTCAGTGCACCGTAGTTCTGGGACCCTTACACCGAACTCCGAACCGAAGAACCGAAGTTCCGAAAATAAAGAACCGACACCGAACCGAAACACCGAAGAACCGAAATAGTTCGGTTCGGTTCGGTTTTTCAGTTTTCCGGTATTTATGCCCACCCCTAGCTACGATAACCCTACATCCTTATTCAGTTATCTTTTCGGAACCTACTAATCTATGATATTTAAAACTGGCTGCCTTTTCTTTTGCTGTCTACCCCAAGAGTTCCTTCATCCGGTTGACGAAAGCTTGATGTCTTTTTAGTTTGTTTAAGTGTCAGACACCAAGAAGACTTTCAACCAATAAACGATTAGTTTGTTTCTCCATGTTATCCTACATATTCTAATGATTCATAGTCCCTTACTTTTTGTCCGGAAGCTCTAAGCTCTGATCATTTATGCTTTTTGCCTCAAACCCGAGAAACCATTACACATTATCTCATCCCTTTCCTTCTATATAGCTAACAATTAGCATTCACTGGTTGGAAAGAGAATGACGGATTTGCTGATTGGGAGCTGTATTGTTGGAAGGTATGAAGTTTTGATAGACTAAAAGATAGAACCACAGTTGTATCAGATGGGAAGAGTTGTTTCTATAGCAGGAATTAGAGGTATTTTTTTGTAGAGTAATTGTCCTGAAAGTCTGTCCATTAGAAAGGCTTGTGCATTTCTTTGTTATGTTGGAAATGATACTTTGAGTATGTTTTCTATTGTGATGCTTTCTAGTCTTCTGTGAATACTTCTCTCTTCTACTTTTCTTTTTAGTTGTTTCGTCCTCCCAGAAACTTAGGTTTCTATCTCTTCTAATGCATTTTCCTCTTTGGTTGTCCACAATCCACTTTCTGTTTTAGTTGTTTCACAACTATTTTGACATGAATACTATAGTTTTCCAGTTGTGCACTGGGTTGTTGGTTTTGAGCTTTTGGCTTCCATTTTGGGACTTTAACTATTTTCAAATAATTACCATGTTTTATTTGGTCAACTGAATAGTTTCCTGGTTTATCATTAAACATAGGAGAACTGTCTTAAAAAAGTTGTAATCTTTCCAATCTACATAATCGAAGACACCTCGGCTTTTATTTTTGCGCTGCAGTTTTCCAACTTTTGAAGATAATCTTCCACAAAGAGCAGTAGGATGGGGTGAAAAGGCTTGATAAAAAAAGGATGGAGTGAAAAGGATAATTGTATATGGCACGTTCTCTTCCCTTCATGGAAGAAGTTGGCTGTATAAGTTCTATAAAATGGCAAAATATATTTATCAATCTACTGAAGTAGAAGCTAGATATTTTTTGTCTTAACATAAAAGACTTTCCTGATTATGAAAGCATTGGAACTTCGAAGTCATTATTTCCATCCCCCATCCCTACCTTTTTTGACAGAAGAGGGAAATCCATTACCTGTCACTTAAACAATATATGCACTTCACAGACTTTGCTGTGATTGCATGTCAAGATGGATAGATCACATCAAAACCCCTATAGTCTGGAAAAAAATGATAACAGAAAATATTGAGTGATTGTTTGTTATATCCCATTCTCCTACAATGTTTGTGTGATGAATATTTTCCTTCTTCAAAGTGGAAAAGGAGGCTACAATCACACGTACATCCTCTTAGCCTGTCGCTGTATAATTTTGTGAAATATGGAATAGCTGTAGAGACTCTTCTCTTTTCCAATTTGTGGGTCTTTTGTTCATACAGTACAATTGGACAAAAAGGAATGCAAAATATACCAAGTGATTGTTTGTTGTATCCTTTTGTCCTACAGCATATGAGTGATGAACAGTCTCCTTCTTTAGAGTGGAAAAGGAGGCTACAATTACTCGGACAACCTATTTACATGTTGCTATAATTATCTATATGCAATAGCTGTAAAAATCCTTTGTCTCCCCATTCTGGGGGTATATTGTCTGTGCCGTACAATTGGACAAAAAAGATTACAGAAAATATGGAGTGATTGTTTGCTGTATCCAGTTGTCCTATAAAGTTGAGTGATGAACAGTCTCCTTCTTCAAAGTGAAAAAGGAGGCTACAATCATTCGCACATCCTCTTAGCTTGAGGCTCTGGCTCATTTTTGTTTTCCTTAGCTACTTTATGTACTTGTTCCTTGTTTTATGGGGTTCTTGGTAGGAATTTTAGTTCTGAAGCACGATATCAGACATTACTTGCATGTCTGAAGCTAGGTGATGTCAAAATGAGTTTGTTGAGGTGACCATTGAGATTTTGGAATTATGATATGATGAATTGTAGTTTTTGAACTGTTTTTTATGGTTACCGGTTAAGGTCGACTCTCACTCAGTTCTCCTTTTTTTCCAAAAACGAAAGCAGAACACCTCATCCACGGAGCATAATCACCAACAATAAAACCTCCTGAGGTTCAGACTTGCATAAATGCAGCAATCAACACTACCAACACACACGGCGGCGGTACAAGGAGCTGCAGCTACAGAGTCCAATGAGGTGAGTGGAGATGCGCCGCCAAAGCAGGTGGCAATGGCACTGGAGCGGCTGGGGCAAGCTAGTCGACTCATAGCTGATATTAGAATTGGCGCAGATCGGCTGTTGGAAGCCCTATTTGTGTCAGCTCAGCGGCAACACTCTTCGAAACCTTTGCATCTTATCCACAAAGAAGAAGCTTCCATGAGACAACACCTTCAAGACCTTCGCTCTGTTGGAAGACAGTTAGAAGATTCTGGTGTTCTCAATGATTCCCTCCGATCACGAAGTAATTCATGGGGCCTCCACATGCCTTTGGTTTGTCCGGATGGTGCTGTTGTTGCATATGCATGGAAGAGACAACTTGCTGGTCAGGCTGGTGCATCTGCAGTTGATAGGACCAGGTTAGCTCTCAAGGCCTTTAATGGTCAGAAAAGACGATTTTTCCCCCACCTTGATACCAATTGTGGTGGGGAGGGTGTGACAAAGAAACTTCGTGGTCCTCCATCAAGTTATCAAGAAGAAACTTGTGAACTGAAAACAGCGTCTGAAGTTTTGACACATCTGAAAAAGGAGGTCCCAAATGTAATAACTTTCTCTTACCAGCGTTTGGATTGGTTGATGCGAGCTACCTCATTGCCCTCTTTGACCAGTGAAAATTCTATTGAATTATCGAAAGAGAATACTTTCCAAAGCACGAGAACATTAAGACAAGGATCATCTGATGATGATGTTTCAGACAAGGTTGCTATAATTGAATTGTTGATTCCTTCTGTTTTTAGAGCCATAGTATCAGTTTCCCCTGCTGGTTCCTTGGATCCCGATGCTGTAGCATTCTTCTCGCCAGACGAGGGTGGTAGCTACATACATGCGAGGGGATTTTCAGTTCATCATGTATTTAGGCACATGACAGAGCATGCTGCTATGGCTTTACAGCATTTTACAGGTGTGGGTACCGAGACAGCCTTGCTTTCTTTGCTGTTGTGGGTTTGCAGCTACCAGACTTTGCTCTCGAAAGCTTGCAGCAAGTGTAGCCGTCTACTATCAATGGACAAAGAGTCTGCTGTGCTACTGCCTCCTGTTTATCGCCCTTACCGAAATTTTTCTGCTGGAAAATTCTTGTCAAAAGAGGACCAAAGTGTGGATTCTAGTCAGTGTTTTCACATCGACTGCTTTTCTGAGGAAGCATAGAAAATCAGCTTTCTGACACACCATTGTACAAAGAAATTCCGAATCTATAAATAGGCTTTCAACATTTTGGACCTCTTTCCCATCCAGGTTTTGTACTTTCGTTTTTCTTGCATTTAAACTAGTTTCGCTTGATCTTGAAGATACTAAGAAATGTGAAATTTATACTCTGTTCAACAAAAAATAGGAAAAAGGTACCTCATCCACTTTGGTTATTATAATAGTGTATAGTAAGTATGTAGGCTGAGGATAACCAAGTTTCTTTGGATTGTATTTGTACCAAACTTTTGATTACTTGCGTTGAAGTTTCTTTTTGAGGTATTTAAATCATTGACAAACCTATACTAGTTAATTTTTCGGAAGTCACTAACTAAGGTTAGTTAGCAGAAAGTCATTTATTTCCAAAAGAAGAAAGATCTTTTTTTCCTGGTTATAATTAATTTATTCATGAAATCTAAGACTTGTTTTTAGCATTTCTAGATTGGTCTAATAATAAATGGGATTTAAAATAGGAAAATTTGAATAACAATTAACAAGTCTTATTTTCCTCTGTTTGATGGACTTTTACATCTTGTTCAATAATTCTCCAAGATTTATTTATAAAGAGAGAAAAAGAATTAACAGACTTGCCAAACATAAATTCAAATTGGCTCTTTATATGTCCTACTCTTTGCATTCCAATTTTCATCATAAACATAACTGGTGCACACAAATTACTGTGGGTATCTTACGTAAATGTACTGCATATCAATTTCTTTTTACAGTTAAATTGCCATATGTTATATATCTATATCATATACTATAACACATAAAAACCAAATAGAGACAAAATAACTATTAATTCGAATATCAATTTAATGGATAACAAATTTATCGAAGGAAATATAAAAAAATCAAATTTTAAAAATTGGAAAGAACAAAAAAAAGAAAAGGAATGGAGACCAAAAAATAACTCCTTCGGTCATGTTTTAACCCAAAAGCTCTCAAACTTCACCTAAATATCATCAAATTATTAAATTATTTCTTATAAGAAAAAAAAGTATTTCAACTTTGCGTAACAACAATTTTATAATAATTTTATTTAGAACCTTATTAGGAAATGACGCAATAAATAATTAGACGATGAGGTGTCCGGTTCTTCAAAATTCCACTGTTCCACCACGTGTCCTTTGAGTCAAAACTCAAAACACTGAAAGCCACCTGCTGTCACGTGACACTCACGTGACTCCCGTTGTTACCTAGGACCACGACAAAGCGCCGTCAACAAACGGAGAATACGCCGTTAAATACTTTTTTTTTTGGGTATCCAATTTTCAAATTGAAGTTCAACTATTTTAAATTTGACTGAATAGGGCTCCATTCGAGGAAGGTAACTTTCCACCAAAAAGTCGAACCCAAGCATTTTAATTAAAAAGGAACAACTCATCCACTGCATCACGTCTGTTGGCAGTGTTAAATCCCCCTCACCAACACCAATAACTGTGTTAAATCCCTCTCACCAACACCAATAACTGTTGTTTTTTCCTGAAAGAACCACGCGTCGAAGCATCAAACAGTGGCCCCCACAAAGCAAGCTCAGCACATTATGGGCCTGACACGTTGAAAGGTAGACTCCAAAAGTCCTTTAATTAATTAACAATGGTTTCTCTGATTAATCATGATTACGATATTACTGTCTTCACTAATTTACCCTCGTGATGTGGCTTAATTACGAGCTTGACCTTACCTTTTTTTTTTTTTTGGGAAACTAAAGGTGAACCTAGGGGTTTTGGTGAGTGATGACTTTTTGTGTAGAAAAGTAATCTCATTTTCTATTTCAACATCACCTCACTAAAGGATTCATCATTTGCCTAAAATCTAAAGGTTCTAGAGAAGCTTACCATGAAGTTTTATGGTTAAGCGTCTGTTTGAATCACCTTATTCGAGGTGGTTTTAAGTTAAAATAATTTTTATAGTATTTAATTAAGAGCAAAAGTGTTTTTGAAGTTAAAATAATAATAATAAGTAATAAAATTCTAATTTATGGCTTATCTCATAAGTCATGCGTTATAAGCTCATTCAAACATGTTCTAAGACGAGGAGCATATTCAATATGGAGAATTTTTTTTACTTAAGAGAATACTTTTCAATTTTTTCGTTTTTAGTTGGTGCAATATTTTTTTTACGAATATAATTTGTTTTTAAATAAAGAAAATGACTCTATTTTTTTTTTACTTAGTATCGAATAAAAAAAAGTTTGGAACCTATTTTTATTTTTTTTTGAAAAAAAAGCATTTTCCATCAAAAAATTTTCTTTCGTACGAAACACACCCCAAGACTAAAGGTGTACAAGTAACTAATAAAATATTGTTTCTGTCACTTTAGGATTTAGTATATAGATAGCTTGTTCCTCTAGTGTGTCAATTTTATTTTTGCTTATATAATTTAATAATTGTTGGCTAGGGACTCACCCATGTATCATATTTCTAGTTGACATGCAAAGTTGAGTTTCTTTTTTCCTCTATTATATATAATTATTACTTGATTGACTGAACAATGACTAGATGTTCACATTCATGAATAATTTCGTTTGAACTTGAATTTGAATTAAGATATTATCATAACTCAAAGAATAAAGTGTATGCAGATTTTATCACTATCTTAGAAATTAATTTAGAAATATTGTTTTCAATAGAGAATCAACTCAAGGAACACTAGATATAAAACGAATTAAGAACATAATAGTACTAAAAATTAAAGGATTATTGTTTGAACATTTAAAAATAAAAATAAAAAATTGAAGAAATAATTGTTGGACATTATTTTAAAACCTAAATACATGCTATGAAAGTGAGTGCGTTTGAGGGAAAATGCACTATTGAATAAAGTGTAGCAAAGTATATTAGATAGATGGGTAAATATAAAAACCATTATATATATTGGATTTTTGAAACTTTTTGACATAAATAAAGTCCACACATACATTTTTATTGTGACTTGTAGTTATCTAATTATCTCTTATTTTATCCTTATAGTTTTATGATAATAACTTTGGTGGAGAAATAAAATTTTATTGGAGGACGGCTAATGGATAATATATAGTGGAAAACAATTGTTATCTAAATAATTCAGATTAAAGTTTAACTTCCAAATTAAACAATAAAGTGTTCTATGAATATAGTGGGATCTAAGGGAGCATGTGATTTGCTCTTTTAATTTTATAACATGATATAATATGTACCAAATGTCAACGTGCACTTTTTGAAAAGAATAAAAAGGGTGCCAAAATAGATAGAGATGATCACTACAAAAATATTGGATAATTTTGAATTTTTTGGCATTAAATAAAGATTCAACACTTGCTAGTAATCAGTTATTAACGATAATTATGATGAGAAGTATAAAATTTTGCATATTTAAATGAAAATATCAAATTTGAATCTTAAATATATATAAAAAAATCATGTAAGAATATTTTTTCAATGATTTTTTATACAACACATGAATATAGAATCAAATTTAATTTAAGTTTCTATATAAATATTACATTTGGAGTGAAACCTAAAAGGAATGCTTCTTGATCGTTACCTCTTTTTGTTTAAATAATAAAAATTAGAGTTGAGTAAATTTTTTTCTTAACAAAATGAAGAATCGAATCCTCACAAGTCACAACAAAGTAATAATTACCTATTTATTCGTTTCTCCTAATTGTTTTACACTACATCAAAAATAATCTTTAACAACAATTAATTAAGAGCAACTTTCACATATAACAAACATAAAAATCATATTTATATGTTATAACTATAGTTTGCATAATTGCGCTCCATAACAAATTTTATGTTTGCTATGACTATTAATATATATATATATATATATATATATATATATATATATATATATATATATATATATATATATATATATATATATATATATATATATATATATATATATATATATATATATATATATATATATATATATATATATATATATATATATATATATATATATATATATATATATATATATATATATATATATATATATATATATATATATATATATATATATATATATATATATATATATATATATATATATATATATATATATATATATATATATATATATATATATATATATATATATATATATATATATATATATATATATATATATATATATATATATATATATATATATATATATATATATATATATATATATATATATATATATATATATATATATATATATATATATATATATATATATATATATATATATATATATATATATATATATATATATATATATATATATATATATATATATATATATATATATATATATATATATATATATATATATATATATATATATATATATATATATATATATATATATATATATATATATATATATATATATATATATATATATATATATATATATATATATATATATATATATATATATATATATATATATATATATATATATATATATATATATATATATATATATATATATATATATATATATATATATATATATATATATATATATATATATATATATATATATATATATATATATATATATATATATATATATATATATATATATATATATATATATATATATATATATATATATATATATATATATATATATATATATATATATATATATATATATATATATATATATATATATATATATATATATATATATATATATATATATATATATAT